ATTTTTAGTCAGGTCAGGTCTATCAAGTGTACGTAAGGGTACACTAGCCGATACAAATTCAAGTCTCAAATGAGCTCAGTCTAGTCGGTCTTAGACAGTTCAAATATCTCAAATCTTAACATTTACCACTCGGGTGGTATAACCTTAATCAAACAGGAAAATTAGAAGAAAAATGCAAACCAAAACTTTTCTCAACAATTCCGGCCACGGCCATAATCTATCAAAACCCTAGCCAAGAATCCAAAACTAAGAAACTGTACAGCTCAGGCCGTACGCTCTCAAGCGTAATTCAACCAAATCATATCTTACGCGTACCACTTTCAAGATTCACAACTGACGCTCCAAAAGAGCACTGAACGTACAAACCAATCCCACAGTCCGGCATCCTAAACTTTAAGCCTAGGATACACTACCAAGATCTGAAGCCTAAACTCTGATACCACCTGTGACGGCCCCACCTCCCCCTAAGGCGAACCAAAGGGTTTAGCGGACTGCCTGCCCAGCTCTCGCCGGGACTCACTCACTCACTACATTGCTCAAGTAAATTACAAGGTACAACTCAAATAATACATCCAATTCTCCAAAAATTACATATCATAAGCGAAACGGAAACTAGTTCTAAGCGTAGAATGTAGATATACATCCGATTCAATTCCAAATATTTATACAGGCCCAAAAGTACATAAACCAAAACCAAATCTAAACTATACAAGATGTACGCCATCCAGCCACACAGAGATCCAAATACAAGTTCTTCCTTTACTTCGATCCCTGTGGGGAGAAGAAGATAATAGGGGGTGAGCTAGAAGCTCAGTGAGTAACCAGTAAAATCAACAGCCAAGTATATTTCACAATAAAGCATTGATATGATGTCATGATGCAGTAATCAAATGTTCATTTATTACTCATGTGAGCCAGTGAAGTTCTTGTACTTAAATATCCAACGCTCGTTTAGATCAGGTAACCGTGAAACAGAAGTAAGGAGCCATCGTGCTCCAAAGAATGTGTAAACAATAGTGGAGACATTGGTTCTAAGCACAAGACTTTCCAGGAACTCATTGGAGCCAAATTATGTCATGGCACACACCCAAACCCAAATGATATGCAATGGAGTAATCAATGCAAGAATTAGTTCAAAAGTAACTTTGGAAATAGTTGAGGGATCACTCACCAACCACGACTCACGAACCTCATCCATCATTTATTATTGTCTTGCTCAAGTCCAAGCCCTAGATCACAAATGGAAATAAGGACTAAAACGATCAAAGTGGAAAAACAGTAAAGGAATGCATCGGGCGTGCGCGGAAATGAAAATGGTACAAAACGGGTTACACGATTTTGCCCATAACTGGAGCTGTGGTTATCAGATCAAAATGTACTAAGTAATGTCTCGAAGCTTAGACAAAGAGTTACAACTTTCATGAAGACACCTCAACTTAGTTGTCAGTGTATCCAAGTCAAATTTTCCAAATATAGAACTAGAACTCCAAAGGCTAGTTTATCTTTCTCGTGAAAATTTTGCAGCATGCCCCTTGTGTTTACCTAATTTTCCAGCCATTTATGGCCTCATTATTTTTCCTCAACCAATCCCAAAGTCATACATATCATAGATTCAAGTAAATAGCCGTTCCATAGGCTCATAACAAAATAAGAACAAAAATCAAAGTGATAACAAGTGCGGAAATGTAACCTAGCAAAAGACAGATTTGACGTAACACATCCGAGGCTACGCTTATCAGATTGTGGTAAAACTTATACCGTTTCGAAGCTAAGACACAGGGTTAAAATTTTCATGAAGATCACTTAGTCCAGTTACCAATGTAACCTAGTCAAATTCCCAATTTACAGAACCAAAATCCAACTAGTCGGCTAATTAACCGCACTGTAGTGGAATGGTCATATCTCAGGTTACCAAGGTCCGATTAAGGTGTTCTTGGTGGAGTTTAAAAGCTAAGACAGAATACTAAAACTTTCATGTTTTGTCAAAAGGCTAAATCCCAACAGATTATAGTGAATAAACACAACCAAATAGACTAAACTGTCCACGCGGAACTCTGGAATGTAACCTAGAACAGCGAGGGTATTTTCATCTTTTCACAAGCTACATTGCTCCGATTGAGCTGAAATTTTGTAGGCACCTATAAAATACCATTCTATACAACTTTAATGTTTTAGGCCAAGCCTAATTCGGCCTCTAACTATGAGTACCAAAACCGGGCAGAACTGAATTAGGAAATTCCAGAAATCTGGAATTTTTGGTTTCCAATGAAACTCTCTTCAATTCCTTGTTCCAAACTCTACCAAAGCCCCTTATATAATCTTATATACAACATCTATCCACCATACAACAAGTTTAGGCAGAAATTAATCAAACCCTAACTTACCTATCTCATCCAAAATCATCACATCAACATGCATAACTTGTAATCTAACCAAAACATGAACTAGATAACATCTTAAACCAAAAATTAGAAGAACAAGGACCATGATCAGATTTTATACCTCAAAAACAGAGCTTGGAAGAGTGATACTTCACCTCCTTTGGAATTTCTTAGTTCCCCAAGCTTCCCAACTCACAACCCGCACTTTAATCGGTTTAGAATTTTGATTCTTCACTTGGATGATGTAAATCAAGAAGAAAATGGTGCAACTCTTGCTCTCCCTTTCTCTCTCTCTATTCTCGGCCAAGGAGCAGAAAAAAATGAAGAAGAAAGGCTGCTCATGGTGTTAATTAAGGCAAGAGATTAGGATGAATCTTGACCACAAGCTTTGCCAACACTTGGCTCACCCTCCACCACAAAATTTTCTCTTTCTTCTCCTTGCATTTTGGCCACATATTTCGGTCAAGAGATAGCTATGAGGGGGAAGATATTTTGCTCAATTATTAATGAGCTTGTATGGTAAGAAAGTAGTGGTCAAGTGGTGCGTTCAATCGCTAGTGCGCGGTACCCGTCGGTTCGCGCCGTTTTTCTTAAAAACACACGTACTAGGGTTTTTACTTCCTATTCACTAACCTTGTATCATTGCTTCTAATCACATATTATTTCTCACTTAAAAGTCATTTTTAATCACCAAATTTGATCCTTGCTCCGTAACGAAAATTCATCCGGCGAAAATCGCGAAAACCCTAATTTTGCTCCAATCTTGAAACCAAAAGTGATACCCTACTTTCTAGGTTCATTGGCACTTATTGTGGGGTGATTGAGTAGTAGGGCCATTATAAAGTGGTATTTGTCATAGAAAAGGGAATTTTTAAGAAAAATATAAGGAATTTGCACGGCTTCTGGCCGGATTCTCCACAAAACACTATTCACCAGAAATTTTTCCCTTTTCTTCTGCCTCGGGGCGTCACATAGTAGGCCTTCCCCTCTAAAAATGTAATAGTTAGGGCCTTAATTGCCTTATGTGTTTTGCATGCTTAGGTGCTATGTGTTACCGCTTTCTTAGGTTTTGGCATCTAGATATGCATGCTTATGTGTTATGTGAATTACGTGATCCCATGTCTACTTGCTTTAATTATGCCCATTACTTATATATGTGTATGACGGATGCCAATGCACGTGACCGTGGCTAATCCAATGCTAGTCATGGTTGTCCCTTCGAGCTCTTACAAGTCCAATGCTTGTGAGAGAGCGTAGATGTGGGTTAGTCCAATGCTAGACCCTTAAGAGCCCTTTTGAGCGTTAGATCATGTTCGTATGACTACACTACATTCTCATGCATATTTTTTTTACTTTTTAGGGTCTTTTATCATCTTTTGCATGACATCCCCCCTTATACATATATCCCTTCTCCCATATTTTACCTTATATGTATATTACTTGCCCCTTTGTATGAAACATGACATTAGACTTGCATTTCATATAAGCATTAGAACTAGGTTAGTTCATTTGCTTGATTAGATTAGGGAATAACCCCTCGAATATGGGATATGGACGAGTTTGGCCTTTCTAGCCTTAGCACGCTCGTATTCCCTCTATTAAAAGGGAAAATTGAGTCACGAACATTAGTCCCCCATACTCGACATGATGCACTTCTTTAAGACATGTATATTTCTATAATTATTTTATCCCTTCTCTTTTCTTGGAGTCTCATATTTTTGCATTATTCGTGTCTTCTCCAAAGGGTTATTATTGGGCATCACAATTAATGTGATTGGCACCATTCAAGCTTTGAAGAGAAATTTTGCCCCCCGATGTCCCCCTAGGTCTAGGGTTTGCATTCATATAGTACATCCGAATGTGATAAATCTTTTGGTTAAAATAAGAAAATCTTTGACTAAATCGCGCAACTAGCCTTGGCTAGGTTGAAAGGGTGCCTTGGACCTCGTCCTTGCCTTCCCTCTCATCAAATGTGACTCCCGAACACTTTCTCTGATTTTTGTAGACTTAGGAGTCGTTTAAAAGGGTTTTCTATAATTTTACTCAAAAATTTATTTTTTAGGTGACTTGGTACACCTTAACTCAATACCAAGTGGCGACTCCATTTTTTATTCAAAACCCTTTTAAACTATTATTTTGGGTCGAATCGTCGCATTTTCAAGTCCCATTTAGACCCATGTTTTTCTTCATTTCCTTTGTAAATTAAAATTCATTTGTCAAATCAAAAAATTCACTTTTTTAAACCAATTTATTTATTTATTTTTCTTACAAAAAATGGGGCGCGACACGAGGGTACCGGTCAGAGTGTATTCGCTGGACCAACAATCCGTGCTTGAACCAACGGAGGTAGTGGATGGTACGATTCCTGTTTTTCACCGGTTAACCAAAATTTTGATAGACCCCGGTGCCACTCATTCTTTTGTTAACCCTACATTTATGCTTGGAATTGACATGAAAGTTGAAAGTCTACCTTATGACTTAGAAGTAAGAACACCTACGGGTAATCAAATTTTACTTGCAAATGGGGTGTACAGAAATTGTGATATTTGGGTTGGAGAACGGAAATTAGTAGTCGACCTCATTAGTTTAGCCATTAAGGGGTACGATGTTATCCTAGGTATGGATTGGCTAGCTCATTACCATGCTCGGGTAAATTGTAGGATGAAAGTGGTAGAGTTTTACATACCCGGTGAGGCAACTTTAAAGTTAGACGTAAGGGGTATGTTAGCCTCATCTGCGCTCATTTCGGGAATAAGGGCTAGGAAATTACTTAGTCGTGGGGCGCACGGTTATCTAGCTTTTCTAATTAACACTCCGGGAGAGAAGATTAAGTTGGAGGACATGCCGGTAATCCGAGAATATCCGGACGTATTTTCGGAGGAGTTGGGGTCATTGCCACCTGAAAGGGAGATTGAATTTAAGGTTGATCTAGTACCCGAAACTACTCCTATCTCTAAAAACCCTTATCGAATGGCACCTGCTGAGGTTAAGGAGTTAAGAGTGCAATTGCAAGACTTGCTAGAGCGGGGATTTATACATGAGAGCAAGTCACCATGGGGAGCTCCAGTGCTATTTGTTAAAAAGAAGGACGGGAGTTTAAGGTTATGCATTGATTATCGAGGACTGAATGCAGTAACTGTTAAGAATAAATATCCTTTGCCCCACATCGATGAGTTGTTTGATCAGTTACAAAGGGTTGTGGTGTTTTCTAAATTGGATCTTCGACAAGGGTACTATCAATTGAGAATTAGAAAGTAGGATGTGCCAAAAACGGTGTTTAACACTCGATATGGGCATTTTGAGTTTGCGGTAATGCCTTTTGGCTTAACCAATGCCCCAGCAGCGTTCATGGATTTAATGCATCGAGTGTTCAAACCTTACTTGGATAGGTTTGTAGTGGTGTTTATTGATGATATCCTAGTATATTCGAAATCAAGGGAGGAGCATGAACAACACTTGCGAATAGTGCTGGAAACCCTAAGAGAGCACCAATTGTTCGCTAAGTTCAGCAAGTGTGAATTTTGACTGGAAAAAAGTGGCGTTCCTAGGTCATATAATTTCAAAAGATGGGCTTGCTGTAGACCCGGCGAAAGTGGAAGCTGTAGCCAAATGGAAGCAACCAGAGAATCCCACAGAGGTGCGAAGTTTTCTAGTTTTAGCAGGGTACTACCACCGATTTATAAAGAACTTCTAGAGAATTGCGGGACCCTTAACTAACTTGACAAAGAAACAAGGAAAGTACATCTGGGATGTTAAGTGTGAGAGTAGTTTCCAAGAACTTAAGAAGCAATTGACTATGGCTTCAGTTTTAGTTTTGCCCAATGGGAACGATAGCTACACGGTTTATACCGATGCTTCAAAAGAGGGGCTAGGGTGCGTGTTAATGCAAAATAGGAATGTGATTGCCTATGCGTCTCGAAAGTTAAAACTTCATGAGCAGAACTATCCAACCCATGACTTGGAGCTTGCAGCTGTTGTGTTTGCCTTGAAAAAATGGCGACATTATCTATACGGTGTGACTTTCGAGGTATATACGGATCACAAGAGCCTTAAGTATCTGTTTTCTCAGAAGGAGCTAAATCTAAGACAACGTCGGTGGGTGGAGTTCTTCGAAGATTATTATTGCACGATTAACTATCATCCCGAAAAGGCCAACGTTGTAGCAGATGCTTTAAGTCGAAAGGCTCAACTAGCAAGTTCCATGGTGGGAGAGTGGAGCTTGTTAGAAGATGTATGTGAGTGGAAACCTCGTCTGGAACCGAAGAAGGTGATTTTTGGAAATATTGAGATGAAGTAGACACTGTTGGATCGGATCAAAGAGGGACAAGTGAAGGACCCAATGGTGCAAAAGTGGATGGAAAAGGTGAAGAAAGGGGAGTTGCCTAACTTTAACCTAAGTTCTGATGGAGTCTTAAAGTTCCGAAATCGTGTCGTTGTACCTAGGGATGAGGAGTTAAAGAGGGAGATTTTGAAAGAATCTCACCGCTCTAAATATACGGTGTGATAGCCCCGCCACCACCTAAAGTGAACCAAAGGGTTTGGCAGACCGCCTGCCTAGCTCTCGCCAGGACTCAGTCGTTCCTTAATCAAATCCGAAATACAACCACAAGAAAGAGCAAAACAAGGATCCAAAACTTAAGTGAAACTTATATGTACATTGCTATCTCAGAAGGAAGTACAACCATCAAATGTACAAAGGTTCTCACTTCACCATACAACCAGCCCGTGCCAAGCACTAGGGCGAGAACCATTACAAAAACAAAGAGCTCGACCAAGCTAGTCTATACCAAGCTCTCATCCTTGCGTGCCTTCCCCTGTTAAGGAAAACAAAACTAAAGGGATGAGCTAAAAGCTCAGTGAGGTTCCGAACACATAATCAAATAATCAATCCAATACATTAAACATAGGGCATCAATAATTCAAGAAACATTTACCATGGAAAGCGATATTAACACATACATTAAAAGGATACGGGCTCACAAGGAGCCATAAATTTGTTCGTTTGTTCGTTCTCCTGATATTTCCCCTTATTCCTCCATTCATTTGAAAATGCGTTTGTGAAAGTAAAACCCTCGTTTGTTCTTTCGTTTCATTCACCCCTTTCCTGGAAATTGGCCAGGCTCCACCAACCTACAAGGTAATACTCGAGTATACCAAATGTTCACCCAGGTCACCAAATCGCCCGACCGAGTCCGCTTCTGGCTCGAGTCGATCGGCAACAAGGGCAAGGGCCCAGTTCAGCCAAAATGGCTTACATTCATGTGCAACTAGTATTTCAACATTTAATCATTGAAAATTTCATGTTTCATTTAGGTCGAGCACGGTAAAGTACACGCTCGCCTAGAAAACTCGTTTTGGAAATCCTTGAAAGCACTTAGCACTTAACAAATTATCAAACAAGAACACAAGTCATGAAGTCAAGAAAAATATAGCAAACAAGGAACATTCACCTATTTAAGCAAAATAATGCCCAAAGTATCCTCCCGGATAACACTCTCAATCGCCAAGAAACCCTAATAATAGCCAAGAGAAAATATTACAGTTAAACCCCTCCAAAGTTTAAGTGAACCAAAGAAAATCTGAATAACTACTAGTACATTGTATAAGTATAGTTTTGGAAGTGAAAAGAGTACATTTAAACCAAAGGCTATGAGTAAAATATTTGTAAAACTTATGCTTGCTCGTAAAACTTTGAAATCTCCATTTAAGTCGAAGTGACAAAGAAAACGTACTCCGAGTAGTCATTATTTTATTTCTCAAGGGTATAAATTCAGCCAAGTCCTTACTCAAGTTGCAAGTATTTTTCTCTAGTCCTCGAACGTAAATTTGGGCAGCATGCCCTTTGTGTTTTCCTATTTCCAGCCATTTGTAGCTTCATTATTTTTCTCATCAGCCCAAAGGTATACACACAACAATCCAAGTTCAATAGCCATTCAATAGGCTTAAGACAATACATGGACTTAAATCAACTAATAACAAATGCGGAAATGAAGTTTACAAAAGACAGATTTGACAGGTTTTTCCGGAAAGAACACATCTGAGGCTACGCTTATCGGATTGGTGTGAAAATTATACCATTTCGAAGCTAAGATGAAGGTATACAACTTTCATGAAGATCACTTGGTCAAATTTCCAGTGTAACCTGGTCAAATTCCCAATTTACAGAGCCAACTTCCAACTATACGGCTAATTAACCGCACTGCACTAGAATGGTCATATCTCAGGCTACCAAGGTCCGTTTAAGGTGTTCTTTGAGGTGTTTAAAAGCTAAGCCAGAGTAATAAAACTTTCATGTTTTGATAAATGGCTAAATCAGCACGGATCCTAGTGAATAAACATGATAAACTGGATGAACTGAATAAAACGGAACACTGGAAACATCCTAAAACAGTGTGGGTATTTTGGTCTTTTCACAGGCTATGTTACTCTGATTGAACTAAAATTTTGTAGACACCTATAAAATACCATTATCTACAACTTTCATGTTTTATTCCAAGCCTAATTCGGCCTCTAACATGGTGCAATAAAACCGGACAGAACAAGGCTGAAATTTTCCAGAAATCTGGGAATTTTGGAATTCAATGAAACTTTCTTCATTTCTTGCCTCAATCCACCACCACAACCTTCTATATAAGCTTAGATACAACATATATCATCCATATAGCAAGTATAGGCAGAAATCATCAAACCCTAATTTACATATATCACCTTAAAAATCATCCCAACAACTTGTATCACAACTAATCTAACCAAAACATGAATTATATAACATCTTAATCAAAAATAAAAGAACCAAAGCTATGGGTTAGACCTTATACCTCAACAAAAGAAGCTTGCAAGAGTAATACTTCACCTCCTCTTGGAATTTTTGTTTCCCCTAGCATCCCAAGGTCACAACTCACACTTTAATCGGTTTAGAATTTTGGTTCCTCACTTGGATGGTGCAAATCAAGATGAAATGGTGAAACTCTTGCTCTCTCTTTCTCTCTCTCTTGTCTCAGCCAAACCAGAAGAAAATGAGGAAGAATGAAGTTAAATGGAAGATAAAAAGGCAAGACAATTGGTTTGGTCAAAGAGCCATAGGTGTGTGACACTTGTCACCACCAAAACCTTCCAAATTTCTCTTTCTTTTCCTTGCATTTTGGGCCACATATTTTGGTCACATGGCTGAGGATGAGGGGGGATATTTTGTAAAAATATCAAGGGTATGTGGTAGTAAGAAAGTGGTGGTCAAGTGGTGGGTTCAATCGGTAGTGATCGATACCCGTCGGTTCGCGCCGTTTTTCTTTAAAACACACGTACTCGGGTTTTTACTTCCTATTCACTAACCTTATATCGTTACTCCTAATCACATATTATTTCTCACCTAAAATTCACTTTTAATCACCAAATTTGATCCTCACTCCGTACCGAAAATCATCCTACGAAAAATCGCGAAAACCCTAATTTGCTCCAATCTTGAAACCGAAAAGTGAAACCCTACTTTCTAGGTTCATTTGCACTTATTGTGGAATGACTGGGTAGTAGGGCTATAATAAATAAATAATTTTCAAATAAAGGGCATTTTTAAGAAAAACGTGAGGAATTTTACAATTCCAGTGATTAAAATTAGGGTTTCAATTAAAATATGAAGGATTTAAGAAATCCGGTTGGTCACAAGTAAACTACGGTTTTTGATTAAAATATTAGGGTTTCTAGTCTTTTAAAACAAAATAAGGTTTTAAATCAAACCCAAATAAATACACTTTAGTATCTTCTTTACAAACAACTTCCTAATATTCGGGGTGTCACATACGGTGCACCCAGGAAATAATAAGATGTACCAAGATCTCAAAAGTCTGTATTGGTGGGAGAATATGAAGACGGAGATTGCCCAGTTTGTACAAAGGTGTCTTACGTGCCAACAAGTAAAAGCTGAGCATAAAAAACCGTCAGGTTTGTTACAGCCTTTAGAGATCCCTGAATGGAAATGGGAGCACATAACGATGGATTTTGTATCAGGGTTGCCACGAACACTAAAGGGGCATGATGCGATTTGGGTAATAGTGGATCGATTAACTAAGACCGCACATTTCCTGCCAGTAAATTTGAAATATTCTTTGGAGAAACATGCCAAACTTTATATGGATGAAGTGGTAAAACTACACGGGGTACCAGTAAGCATTGTATCCGATAGAGACCCTAGGTTTGTATCTCGATTCTGGCAGAAATTGCAAGAGGCTCTAGGAACTAAGTTGAATTATAGTACAGCATATCACCCGCAAACTGATGGACAATATGAGAGAACCATTCAAACTCTTGAGGATATGCTGAGAGCCTGTATTGTGGACTTTGGAGGAAGTTGGAGCCGGTACTTAACCTTGGTTGAATTTGCATATAACAATAGTTATCATTCCTCTATTCAAATGGCCCCATATGAAACTTTGTATGGAAGACCATGTCGATCCCCAATCCATTGGGATGAAGTAGGAGAGAGAAAGATTATAGATCCGGCTACAATACCATGGGTTGAGGAAGCCTACGAACGGGTAAAGGTGATCCGCCAAAGACTTCAAACAGCCCAAAGCCGATAGAAAAGTTATGCCGATCATCGGAGGAAGGATTTGGAGTTCGAGATAGGAGATAAGGTGTTTCTTCGAATTACCCCGTTGAAATGAAAGATTAGAGCAGGAAAAGGGAAAAAGTTGCAACCACGGTACATAGGACCTTTCAATATACTCCAGCGAATAGGAAAGGTGACTTATCGACTTGAATTACCAGCTAGTTTGTCTCGGATCCATGACGTTTTCCATGTTTCTTTACTTAAGAAATACCATCCGGATCCGACTCACATTTTGCCACCAGAAGATGTTGAACTCGACGAGTCCTTTACCTATGAAGAACGACCCATTCAAATATTGGATCGGAAGGTGAAGGACCTGAGAAACAAGCAGATTCCATTAGTAAAGGTTCTATGGAAGCATCATGAAGTGGAAGAAGCAACCTGGGAACTAGAAAAGGACATGCAAGAGAAATATCCCGACCTGTTCACGGCGAAAGGTATGAATTTCGAGGTCAAAATTCTTTTAAGGGGGAGAGAGTGTGAGGACTTGCAAATTCCTAATATATTTCTTGAAAATTCCCTTTTATTTGAAAATTATTTGGAAATTATTATTCTACACTATCCTACTACTCAATCACCCTAGAAAAGTGCCAATGATCATAGGAAATTAGGGTTTTCCTTTCCGATTTCAATTCGAAGTGAAATAGGATTTTTCATGTATCCGTAGTGTAATTATCCGATATGGAGTAAGGATCAAATTTGGTACTTAAGAGTGACTTTTAGGTGAGAAATAATATGTGATTAGAAGCAATGATAAAAAGTTAGTGAATAGGAAGTAAAAACCCTAGTACGTGTGATTTAAGGAAAAACGGTGCGAACCGACGTGTACCGTGCACTATCGATTGAACACACCACTTGATCACCACTTTCTTACCATATAAGCTCATTAATATTTGAGCAAA